CTCCTCCATCTTCTCCAAAATACAGAGATAGGATCGTAAGCCTCCTACCGTTGAACAGTTTTCCTGTAGCCACTATTCTCTTTTTTTCTTATTTTTTGAAGAGCCAGTCTTGCTCTGTGGCTCAAGCTGGAATAGAGTGCAGTGGAGCAATCATAGCTCACTGCAGCCTCGAACTCCCCTCTCAGTTTCAAGTGCCCTTCCTGCCTCAGCCTCCCGAGTAGCTGGGACTAGCAGGCCTGCCCCCAAACCCAGCTAATTTTTGTATTTTTTGTAAAGATGCAGTCTTACTATGTTGCCCAGGCTAGTCTCGAATTCCTGAGCTCAAGCGATCCAGCTGCCTCGGCCTCCCAAGTGCTGGGATTACAGGCATGGGCCACCACAACCGGCCTCAAGAATGTGTTCTAATGTTCAGATCTATGTCCAAAAAATAAATTATATATTTCAGGGGGCTGAGCAATTTAGGTCCAGCTTGCATGGGTCTCTGCTATACTTGAGGTCATCTGGGACAGCCCCGGGGCTGGGGACTGGAATGATCGGATGGCTCCCTCACTCCCTAATCTGGCATTGGGTGCTAGCTGTCAGCTCCAGCACTCTCCAGATGGCTTCTCCAAGTGACCTGGGCTTCCTCACCACGTGGTAGCTGGGAGCCAAGGAATATCCTCAGCACTGAACCAGCATCTCTTTTACTGCATTGTGTTTGTAGAGGCAGCCACAAGTCCTAAGGACACCAACTCGAGGGGAGACTGGCAAGATTCTGGAAGAACATGTGGGATTCAAAATACTGCTGTGGGAATTTTTGGAAAATCCAATCTGCCACAGTAATAATCTCCCATCCTGTTAATTCATCCTTACCTCATTCTACTTTGTATTTTTTTTTTTTCTTTTTTTGAGACAAAGTCTCACTCTGTCACCCAGGCTGGAGTGCAATGGTGTGATCTTGGCTCACTACAACCTCTGCCTCCTGAGTTCAAGCGGATTCTCCCTGCCTCAGCCTCCCAAGTAGCTGGGATTACAGGCACCAGCCACCACGTCCAGCTAATTTTTGTATTTTTAGTAGAGACAGGGTTTCCCTATGTTAGCCAGGCTGGTCTCAAACTCCTGACCTCAGGTAATCCACCCGCCTCGGCCTCCCAAAGTGCTGGGATTTATGGGCGTGAGCCACCTAGCCCGGCCTGTAGTAGTCATTTTTATACTTGCCTAATCTCCTCTGCTATGCAGTAAACTTCAAGATAGAGTGCGCATTCTTACTTTTTCTACCATGTACACTCTCCTACAAAATGATTGACTGAAGTGCAGTTTTGACACTAAATTAAGAGCTAATTTCATGAATGCAATATTCTTTCAATAAAGATGCACTAAATTCCAGCCTGGGCAACACAGTGAGACCATGTCTCTACAAAAGGTAAAGAAAAACAAAAATTAGCCAGGCATGGTGGCTTGCACCTGTTGTCCCAGCTTGTCAGGAGGCCTCAGGAGGATGACTTGTGCCCTGCATGCAGAGGTTGCAGTGAGCTGAAATCACACCACTGCATTCCAGCAGTGGGGGAGTTGGGGGGGTGGGGGAGATGCACTAAATTGAAAATATCACAGAAGGTGAAGCCTGTCCTGTGCCTCTTTTAGTGCCCATTTCTGGGATAGTTCCATGTTTCAAGTAAGAGCCTGGGAATGAGTTTTGATACTCTGGATAAACTTTGTGAATAACCCTTCCACCATTCTTTTTTTTTTTTTTTTTTTTTGGGGACGGAATTTCGCTCTTTTTTCCAGGCTGGAGTGCAATGGCACGATCTCGGCTCACCGCAACCTCCGCCTCCTGGGTTCAGGCAATTCTCCTGCCTCAGCCTCCTGAGTAGCTGGGATTACAGGCACGTGCCACCATGCCCAGCTAATTTTTTGTATTTTTAGTAGAGACGGGGTTTCACCGTGTTGACCAGGATGGTCTTGATCTCTTGACCTCGTGATTCACCCGCCTCGGCCTCCCAAAGTGCTGGGATTACAGGCTTAAGCCACCGCGCCCAGTGTTTTTTTTTCTTTTTGAAATGGAGTCTCACCCTGTCGCCAGGATGGACAGAGGATGCAGTGAGCTGAGTGGCCAATCTCAGCTCACTGCAACCTCTGCCTCCCAGGTTCAAGCCATTCTCCCACCTCAGCCTCCCGAGTAGCTGAGATTACAGGCACATGCCACTTCACCCGACTAATTTTTGTATTTTTAGTAGAGACAGCGTTTCACCAAGTTTGCCAGGCTGGTCTTGAACTCCTGACCTCAAGTGAACTGCCTGACTCGGCCTCCTAAAGTGCTGGGATTACAGGCATGAGCCACTGTGCCCGACCCCCCACGATTCTTTCTACCACCACATGCCACCCAAGACTTTTCCTCGTTTAACTGCAATGTGCCACCTAATCTACATCCATCTCGCTCTACCTTCATCTTTCATTGTTTTAGCACATCCAATAAGAAAATGTCTCTATGTATAAAATGCTTTGTTTTCTCAAATAGATTGTTAGCCCATTGAGGACAGTGGGCCACCCATTTGATCTTCTAGTTCTATGTATTTCTAAAGTCCATAAAAATGTCACATAGGGAATAGGTGTCCAATAAAGTATTTATTGATGAAATACCATTTTACTCTTAAGGAGTCATTTCTAATGTTTGGTTCATATAAGTCAAAGAAAACAGGGACACAACACTAAAATAATATAACTAATACATTTTTTATTTTTATTTTTTTCTTCAGACAGGGTCTCACTCTGTCATCCTGGCTAGGGTAAAGTGGTGCTATATCGGCTTATTGCAACCTACGCCTCCCCGGCTCGAGACCTACCTTCCTCAGCATCCCAAAGAGCTGGGATTTGAAGCATGAGCCACTATGCACTCTGTTTATTTTTATTTTTGAGAGGGAGTTTCGCTCTTGTTACCCAGGCTGGGGTGCGATGGTGTGATCTCGGCTGACTGCAACCTCCGCCTCCCAGGTTCAAGCGATTGTCCTGCCTCAGCCTCCCAAGTAGCTAGGATTACAGGCACGTGCCATCACGCCCAGCTAATTTTTGTATTTTTAGTAGAAACAGGGTTTCACCAGGTTGGCCATGCTGATCTGGAACTCCTGACCTTAGGTGAACCACCCACCTCCGCCTCCCAAAGTGCTGGGCTTATCAGCATGAATGACTTCGCCTGGCCTACTAAATTTTTAAGAGATAAAAAGTAATGAATATTTGGTTTGGAATTCTTCAAATGGTCCCTCCCTGCATGGTAATTTAAAATGCTGATCCATGTTGCAGTAGTGATTGGGAGTAGAAAGGTTAAGATAACAGAAGACACATTTCATGGCTCGAATTAGAGAAGACATAAAAAGAAATCATGAACAGGCTGTGAGGTTGAAAATTAGAAATTTGGAGAGATTTAAAATAATTTTTTATTTTACTGTTTTTTTTTGTTTTTTTTTAATTTTTGAGGTGGTCTCCCCCTGTTGCCCAGGCTGGAGTGCAGTGGCTCGATCTCGACTCACTGCAACCTCCGCCTCCCGGGCTCCAGCGGTTTTCCTACCTCGGCCTCCTGAGTGGCCGGGATTACAAGCATGTGCTACCACACCCAGCTAATTTTGCATTTTTATTAGAGATGGGGTTTCTCCATGTTGGTCAGGCTGGTCTCAAACTCTCTAGCTCAGGTGATCCACCTGCCTCGTCTTCCCAACTGGGATTACAGGCAGGAGCCACCATGCCTGGCCAATTTTTGTATTTTTAATAGAGATGGGGTTTTACCATATTGGCCAGGCTGGTCTCAAACTCCTGACCTTGTGATCCACCCACCTCTGCCTCCCAAAGTGCTGGGACTACAGGTGTGAACCACCACACTAGGCCTTATTTTTATTTTTTGAGACGGAGTCCTGCTCTGTCACCCAGGCTAGAGTGCAGTGGTGTGATCTTGGTTCACTACAACCTCCGCCTCCCAGGTTCAAACGATTCCCCTGTCTCAGACTCCTGGGGAGCTGGGATTACAAGCATGCACCACCATGCCCTGCTAATTTTTGTATTTTTAGTAAGAGATGGGGTTTTGCCATGTTGGCCAGGATGGTGTCGCATGTCTGACCTCAAGTGATCCACCCCTCTTGGCCTCCCACAATGCTGTGATTACAGGCATGAGCCACTATGTGTAGCCTAAACTAACCTTTTAAAAAGATCTAATCTTCCATCTCATTTTTGTGCTTAGACTTTTGAAATCTTTTTATTCAAGAAATCCAGAAGCCCTGATGAAAAAAATGATGATATGCTTTTATTTTTTTAATTCTTTATTTTCTTGTTAAAAAATACAACATTGGTCATCGTTTTCATTAAACAGACCTTTGTGATTTTACTGATTTATATGAGCGGTACTAAATTACATGATTTATAAGGCTTGACACAGGAAGAATGCATTGAGGTATATGGGAAGAAAAGGGACATGAATACAAGAGAAATGTTAAATCAATGACTAAGGCACACATTTCAGATGTGAATCATAAATCTACCGCTGTGGCTAGAACAACCTATATGCACATTGATTCCGGAAGACATGATGCATTGCTGGTAAAAGTAGAGAGGGCTGGGTTTGTGCAGTCCCCTGGTACTCCCCGCACCACTTCAGAGAAGAAGTGTCATGACACAAGAACAGTAGGCGGTAGAGGCTCCCCAGCACTGAGTCCGGTGAAGCCATAGATGGTTTGCTGTTTACTTCAGCTTCCAGCATTTGCTTTCATTTCACAGTGAGGAAGTCAGTTGGTGATCTCTATGAAATCCCCAAGCACCTGGCGTTGGGAAGGTCCCTCTGTTAAACAAGTATTCTTTCTTTCTTTATTATTATTTTTTGAGACAGAGCCTTGCTCTGTCGCGCAGGCTGGACTGCAGTGGTGGGATCTCAGCTCACTGCAACCTTCGCCTCCCAGGTTCAAGCCATTCTCCTGCCTCAGGCTCCCAAGTAGCTGGGATTACAGGCACGCACCACCACGCCCAGCTAATTTATATATTTTTGGTAGAGACGGAGTTTCGCTATGTTGGCCAGGCTGGTCTCAAACTCCTAACTTCAAATGATCCACCTGCCCTCGGTCTCCCAAAGTGCTGGGATTATAAGAGTGAGCCATGGCATCAAGCCAGGAAATATTCTTTAAACACCACAAATAAACATACTGCAGCAGGGACTTGTAGAGGCAATTCTGATTAACCACGGGCTGAAATCCCCATCTCAGACACCCAAGTCAGTTAAAAATAGTAAGATATCACTGCAAGAACAATTCAAAAGAAAAAAAGTTTATGGTAAAATAGGCACAAATCAATTTCATTATAACTAAAACTCCTTAATTTAAAAATATAGTACTAGAAGATCATCCACCCAGAGACTTGTATTTAATAGGACCGAGAATTGCTAGTGTTAGGGGAGATACTTTATGCAGCGGCTGGAAAGCAGCAGCCTCCAGATTACATAAAATGAAAATAGTAGTACTGCCACAGGACTTTTAAAAAGGAGAGGGAAAATTAATGAAAGTGACATGCAACTAACAAACCAAGAGGCAGTGTTGAAGTCACCTCCACGGAGCTGTAAACTCAGAAGGGTTTCCTGGTCATACATGGTCAATTAGGGTCAAGTCTGAAATAATCTAGATAATGACCTAGTTTTCTAGCTCACTCAGAGCTAACCAATCTATAACACTATCATACTTTTCTTTATATTTTTTGAGATGGAGTCTTGCTCTGTCGCCCAGGCTGGAGTGCAATGGCACCATCTCGGCTCACTGCAACCTCCGCCTCCCAGGTTCAAGCGATTCTCCTGCCTCAGCCTCTCAAGTAGCTGGGACTACAGGTGCACGCCACCACACCAGGCTGATTTTTGTATTTTTAGTAGAAACAGGGTTTCACCATGTTGGCCAGGCTGGTCTTGAATTCCTGACCTCAGGTGATCTACCCACTGTGGCCTCCCACAGTGCTGGGATTGCAGGTGTGAGCCACCACACCCGGCCCCCACCCTTTTTTTGTGGTTATTTTTTTGGTTTTTTTCTATTTCTACTATTACATTTTCAAGGATAAATTTGTGGTTATATTCATGTATTCATAACCAGTTCCCCTGGTTGTTACACCTATTCCAGATTAAATCATGTATATCAATCCCAACATCTTACAGGAGTACAATCTTTTCATGTTACCCAACAGAGCAGGAAAGAGCAGAGAAAGGAGGCCTCTCTTTTAATGGCCGTTTTTTTTTTTTTTTTTTTTTTTGTGAGACGGATTCTTGCTCTGTCCCCCAGGTTGGAGTGCAATGGAATGATCTCAGCTCACTGCAATCTCCCCCTCCTGGGTTCAAGCGATTCTCCTGCCTCAGCCTCCTGGGAAGCTGGGATCACAGGCACCTGCCACCACACCCGGCTATTTATTATATTTTTAGTAGAGACGGGGTTTCACCGTGTTGGCCATGCTGGTCTTGAACTCCTGACCTCAGGTAATCCACCCGCCTCAGACTCCCAAAGTGCTTAAATTACAGGCAAGCGCCACTGCATCTGGACTTAATAGCAGTTTTCTTAAAGACAAATAGTGTTTCTTCAAAAGTCATCATCAAGCAAAGGTCTTGGCGAGGATCTCTTCATGCTGCTGCAAGTGAACAGTGCCAATTCCTACAGCGGGCACTGGCAAAGGGGGCCGGCCCACCAGGTGGAGCTATAAGTGCAGCAGAGAAGAAATAAAATGACATTTTGACCAGATCAGACGTCTGCTTAGTTCCACCAAAATGGTGCATGTATTTCTCTTAGCTTGTTTAACCATAAATCACGTCTTTCAAATAATGAGTTACACAGAATAGATTAAAGGGACAGAGCTCCGTGCTCAATGCCTTTCACCCAGTGCTTTGGGAGGCCAACATAGGCATATCACTTGAGGCCAGGAATTCGAGACCAGCTGGCCAGCAGGGAAAAACCTTGTCTCTACAAAAAATACAAAAATTAGCCAGGCGTGGTGGTGTGTGCCTGTAATCCCAGCTACTCAGGAGACGGAGACACGAGAATCACTTGAACCCCAGAAGCAGAGGTTGCAGTGAGCTGAGATTGTGCCACTGCTCTCCAGCCTAAGCAACAGAGACTTTATCTCAACAACAACAAAAAAATTGATTGGAGGGAAATACGTCACCACTAACAACTAATGGAATGCCAGGCAAGATGAGACATGTTCTTGAATTTGTCCTATTCTTTTTTCTTTTTTTTGAGACAGAGTCTTGCTCTGTCGCCAGGCTGGAGTTCAGTGGCTCAATCTTGGCTCACTGCAACCTCTGCCACCTGGGTTCAAGCGATTCCCTTGCCTCAGACTCCTGAGTAGCTGGGACTATAGGCGCCTGCTACCACACCTGGCTAATTTTTGGTATTTTAGTAGAGACAGGGTTTCCCCATGTTGGCCAGGATGGTATCAATCTCCTGACCTCATGATCCACCCAAATTCGGCCTCCCAAAGTGCTGGGATTACAGGCGTGAGCCACTGTGCCCAGCCATACTTTATCCTATTCTCAAGTAACTATTAGTTGATTCTAACTGTAGAGTTTATTTAATTAGAACTATTTACAAGAAAAATGATTCAAGCCTAGCAAACTGGTATCAAATGAGTAAACTGAGTTCTAATCTAAGCAGAATAGAAATACATACACAAGTATAATTGGTTTTCACTTTCTAAAGAACAATCTAGCCTCCTAAATGACAAGATAGATAGAATAGGTCTTGTTTGCAAAATAAATTCAAGACCTACTTACCTACTAAAAGAATTAAAAAAAAAATCAAGAAGTATAACAGTGGTTTTTTTTTGTTTGTTTGTTTGTTTGTTTGTTTCTTTTTTTGAGACAGGGTCTTGCTGTGTTGCTCAGGCTGGTCTTGAACTCCTGGGCTCAAGTGATCCTCCTGCCTTGGCCTCCCAGAGTACTGAGATTACAGGCATGAGCTACTATGCCCAGGCAAGAAGTATACCAGCTTTGATGTGCAGAAGCCCAGCTGTGCAGATGGATGATACGATGTTGATCTGTGTTCCCACCAAATCTCACGTGGAATTGTAATCCCTAATGTTAGAGGCAGGGCCTGCTAGGAGGTGATTGGATCATGGGGGTGGGTTTCTCATAAATGTTTTAGCACCATCCCCTTGGCGCTGTCCTTGTGATCGTGAGTGAGTTCTCATGAGATCTGGTCATTTAAAAGTATGTGGCACCGCTTTCCAATCCTCCCTTGCTCCTGCTGTCACCATGTAACACGCCTGCTCCCCGCTTGCCTTCTGCCATGATTGGAAGCTTCCTGAGGCCTCCCCAGAAAAAGAAGATGCCACGCTTCCTGTACAGCCTGCAGAACCGTGAGCCCGATAAACCTCTTTTCTTAGAAATTACCCAGTCTTAGGTTTTTTTTTTTTTTTTTTTGAGATAGAGTGTCACTCTGTCACCCAGGCTGAAGTGCAGTGACGTGATCTCAGTTCATAGCAACCTCCACCTGATGGGTTCAAGAGATTCTCCTGCCTCAGCCTCCGGAGTAGTTAAGATTATAGGCACCCAACACCGCACCTGGCTAAATTTTGTACTTTTAGTAGAGAGGGATTTTACCACATGGGCTAGGCTGGTCTCAAACTCCTGACCTCAGGTGATCCACCTGCCTCGGCCTCCCAAAGTGCTGGGATTACAGGCATGATCCACTGCACCGGCATCAGGTTATTTCTTTACAGCAATGTGAGAACAAACTAATACAATGGGCTTGGAATGAGCATTATTGGGTGTATCCAGTCCCATACTGTAAAACAAGTCTGCTCGTCCTCTGGCTTGACCAAGGCTTAGATAAGACATGCTGAGGTAGTGGGATGGAGAGACAAAAGGTAAGGGCTTTTTCTTTTTTGAGTATAACCACTTTTTTTTTTGAGACAAAGTCTCACGCTGTTTTCAGGATGAGTGCAGTGGTGTGATCTCGGCTCACTGCAACCTCTGCCTCCGAGGTTCAAGCAACTCTCCTGCCTCAGCCTCCTGAGTAGCTGGGACTACAGTTGCATACCACCAGGCCCAGCTAATTTGTATATTTCTAATTTGTGTATTTCTAGTACAGATGGGGTTTCACCATGTTGGCCAAAATGGTATCCATCTCCTTACCTTGTGATACACCCCTCTTGGCCTCCCAAAGTGCTGGGATTACAGGCATGAGCCACCATGCCTGGCTGAGTATAACCACTTTTTAAAAAATGATTTTAATATGTTGATGACCAAAATGTTGTTATGCAACAAATCAAGGAAAGAAATGAAACACGTAGGCCGAGCATGGTGGCTCACATCTGTAATCCCAGCATTTTAGGAGGCCGAGGTGGGCAAATCACCTGAGGTTAGGAGTTCGACACCAGCCTGGCCAACATGGTGAAACCCAGTCTCTACAAAAATATAAAAAATTAGCCAGGCATGATGGCGGTGCCTGTAATCCCAGCTACTGGGGAGGCTGAGGCGGTAGAATCGATTGAACTTGGGAGGTAGAGGTTGCAGGGGGCTGAGATCATGGCATTGCACTCCAGCCTGAGTGACAAAGCAAGACTCTGTCTCAGAAAAAAGAAAGAAAGAAACATGTGCATATAAATATATATATATGGCCCCATAAATACTCAACATTTTCTTCTGCAGGAACAGCCTAAAACTAGATTTTATATTTTGGTTTATCTTTAAAGAATTGAACTGGCAATAGGGAATAAACCCATTTGTTGATGCTCCAAGAAAAACATGCACACAAAACACTCCCGGAGAAAAAGTGTGATTACCTTGCAGGCCAGCTGCTTTTCAAATCTTGGAGAAACAAAAGACCATGGACCCATGTTCTGAGGCTCCTCCTGACTCCAAATATGATCTATGAGAGAAGAAATTCATTTCAGCACCTCAGGTAGACACATGCAGACCGTCCCCAATTTACTATGATTCCACCTATGATGGATTTTTCAACTTCAAGATGCTGTGAAAGCAATTCACGTTCACTAGAAACTGTACTTCAGGTACCCATACAACAATTCTGTTTTTCACTTTCAGTACAATAAATCTGATAAATTATTTGAGATATCTAACACTTCACTATGAAATGTAATAAATTTTGTGTTAAATTATTATGCCTAACTGGAAGCTAATGTGAGTGTTCTGAGCATGTTTAAGGCAGGCTAGGCTAAACTGTGATTGGTAGGTTAGGTGTAGTCAATGCATTCTTTTTTTAATTTTAAGTTCAGGGATACATGTGCAGGATGTGCAGGTCTGTTACCTAGGTAAACATGTGCCATGGTGGTCTGCTGCAAATATCACCCCATCACCTAGGCATCAAGCCCAGCATCCATTCACTATTCCTCCCGATGCTCTCCTTCCTCCCCGGCGACCCTCGGACAGGCCCCACTGTGTGATGTTCCCCTCCTTGTGTCCATGTGTTCTCATCATTCAGCTCCCACTTATAAGTGAGAACATGCAGTATTTGATTTTCTGATCCTGCGTTAGTTTGTGAAGGATAATGGCCTCCAACTCCATCCTTGTCCCTGTAAAAGACATGATCTCATTCCTTTTATGGCTGCATAGTATTCCCTAGTGTATATGTACCACATTTTCTTTTTTCTTTTTTTTTTTTTTTTGAGACAGAGTCTGGCTTTGTCACCCGGGCTGGAGTGGAGTGGCACAGTCTCGGCTTGCTGCAACATCCGTCTCCCAGGTTCAAGCAATTCTCCTGCCTCAGCCTCCAAAGCAGCTGGAACTACAGGTGTGCACCACCATGCTTGGCTAATATTTGTACTTTTAGTAGACATGGGGTTTCACCACATTGGTGAGCCTGGTCTCAAACTCCCGACCTCAGGTGATCCACCTGCCTTAGCCTCCCAAAGTGCTGCTATTACAGGTGTGAGCCACTGCACCTGGTCTGTATTTTCAACTTAACAGTATTTTCAACTTACGATGCATTTATTGGGATGTAGCCTCATCATTAAGCTGAGGAGCATCTGTCCACCAAGAAAGGAAGGGAAATATATAGAGATAAGCTTAGAGAGATTTCTCTATATATAGTCAAACTCACTTAAATATATCCTTTTCCAACATGGCAGAGCATTGCTTGTCTCTTTTTTTCCTGGCACATACAGTTATGTAACCACCACCTCAAACACGACAGAGAGCAGTTCTGTCTACCCCACCGCCAGAATTTCCTCAGCCTGACCTTTCGTAGTCGACTCCAGCTCCCATCCCCACCACTGAACATCACTGATCTTTTCTCTATCCCTACAGTTTTTTCTTTTCCATAATGTCATATCGGTGAAGTCATGCAGTCTGCAGGGTCTGGCTCCTGGAGCTGTAAGATGCATTTATGAATGACTCATGCTGTTGTGCACAGCAATGGTTCCTTTCTATTGCTGAGTAGCACATTATATGGATGTGCTACTAAATGTTTATTCATTCACTGGTTGAAGGACATTTTGGCTGTTTCTGGTTTGGGCCAATTGTGAATAAAGCTGCTATAAACACTTACCAACAGATTTTTCTGTAAACCTCTTTAATATTATTTTTTGAGACAAGGTCTCATTTTGTCACCCAGGCTGGAGTGCAGTGGCATAATCACAGCTCACTGCAGCCTCAACCTCCTGGGCTCAAGTGATCCTCCCACCACAACCTCCCAAATAGCTGGGACTACCGGTGCATGCCAGCACACGTGGCTAATTTTTCCTTTTTGTGTGTGTGTGTGTGTAGAAAAGAGTTTTTGCCACATGGCCCAGGCTGGTCTTGAACTCCTGAGCTCAAGTGATCCACCTGCCTCAGCCTCCCAAAGTGCTGGCACAGGCATGAGCCACTGTGCCTGGGCTATTTTTCTTTTGTAATTAAAAAAATGTCTTTGAGAGAATGGGTCTCACTCTGTCACCCAGGCTGGAGTGCAATGGTATGATCATGGCTCACTGCAGTCTTTAACTGCTGGGCTCAAGCAATCTTCCCACCTCAACCTTGTGAGTAGGCTAGCGCTACAGGCACGTGCTACCACGCCTAGCCAATTTCTTTTATTTTTTGTGGAGACCGGGTCTTGCTATGTTGCTCCAGCTGATCTCCAACTCCTAGCCTCAAGTGAAACTTCTGCCTGGACCTCCCAAAGTGCCAGGACTACAAATGTAAGTCACTGTGCCTGGCCTGTGAATGTGTTTTCATTCATCTTGCATAAATACCTATGAGTGAGATTGCTGGGCCATATGGTAACTCAGGGTTTAACTTTCTAAGAAGCTTAAGGTTTTTCCAAGGTGGCTGCACCGGCTTGCATCCACCAGGAGCAAATGAAGGTTCCAGTGGCTCTGCTCCTCATCAACACTGAATAGCAGGAGTCTGTTGTTTTGCTTTAGTTTTAACCATTCTACTAGGTGAGTGGCCATTGCTCATTTTTGACTAATTTTCATTTCTCTTAACATGAGTGATACTGAGCATCTTTACAAGTTCTTATTTGCCGTCCAGTTCTTTGGAGAAGTGCCTACTCAAAGCTTTTACACATTCTGAAAAATTGGATTATTTATTTTCTTTGGGTTTTTTTGTTTGTTGTTTTGCTTTTTTGAAAGGGACTCTGACTCTGTCGCCCAAGCTGGAGTGCAATGGCACAATCACAGCTCGCTGCAAGCTCCACCTCCTTGGTTCAAGCGACTCTCCTGCCTCAGCCTCCCGAGTAGCTGGGATTACAGGCGTCCGCCACCATGCCCGGCTAATTTTTATATTTTTAGTAGAGACGGGGCTTTTCCATGTTGGCCAGGCTGGTCTTGAACTCCTGACCTTAAGTGATCTGCCTGCCTTGGCCTCCCAAAGTGCTGGGATTACAGGCATGAGCCGCTGTGCTGGGCCTTGTTTTTGTTTTTGTTTTTGTTTTTTTTAAACAGGGTCTTACTCTGTAGCCCAGGCTGGAGAGCAGCGGCAAATCTGGGCTTGCTGAAGTCTCAGCCTCTCAGGCTCAAGCGATCCTCCCACCTCAGCCCCACAAGTAGCTGGGACTACAGGTACACACTACCACACCCACCTAATTTTTATACTCTTAGTAGAGATGCGGTTTTGCCATGTTGGCCAGGCTGGTCTCGAACTCCTGACCTCAAGTAAGCCACCTGCCTCAGCCTGCCAAAGTGATGGGATTACAGGTGTGAGCCACTGCACCTGTCTGAGATTCAATTTTCTAATAACCTCCACCACCTCTTTTCATTTAAAAGAGTTGGCCAGGAGTGGTAGCTCACGCCTGTAATCCCAGCACTTTGAGAGGTCGAGGCAGGTGGATCATGAGGTAAGGAGTTCAAGACCAGGCTAACCAAAATGGTGAAACCTCCATCTCTACTAAAAATACAAAAATTAGCTGGGTGTGGTGACGCACGCCTATAATCCCAGCTACTTAGGGGGCTGAGGCAGGAGAATCGCTTGAACCCAAGAGGCGGAGGCAGTGAGCCGAGATCTCACCACTGAACTCCAGCCCGGCGACACAGTGAGACTCCATCTCAAAAAAAAAAAAAAAAAAAAAAGAGTGGAAATGGATTTCGGATATCTGAACATCAAAGACCCCGAACAAGAGCAACCCTTTACCTTTAACATGTTTGTATTTGCTCATCTCTTGCTGTAAAGAATCCAATGGGAAGGGGCAGAGCTCCTCTACTCGGATGATGGCAAAGTCATGCTTCTTGGCCCCCAGAGATTCTCTTTGCTTCATCAGGGAGTAGAAATGTTTGCCAGAGCAGAACACAAGGGTCTTAACCCTGTTGGACAGAAAAGGAACAGCAGGGTGGGGGAGAAATTTTTCAAGGTAAGAATTGTGTCAGAATAAAGGGGAGACAGCACAGATTTAAAGGTCTGGCAAACGAGGCAGTGGGGAGCTCTGCAGCTGGGTTCAGTCACTGGCTATTCCTGGAGATCCTTCTTCAGCAACATATGCCTCCAAAGTCCACTCTCCCACCCACACTTAACTCCCACTCCACTGACTTAAAGGACTTACTTATATTAGGATGAGTAGGCTGGGCGTGGTGGCTCATGCCTATAATCCCAGCACTTTGGGAGGCTGAGGTGGGCAGATCACCTGAGGTCAGGAGTTCGAGACCAGCCTGGCCAACCTGGTGACACCCCATCTCTACTAAAAATACAAAAATTAGCAGGGCATAGTAGCAGGTGCCTGTAATCCCAGCTACTCAGGAGGCTGAGGTATGAAAATTGCTTGAACCCAGGAGGCAGAGGTTGCAGTGAGCCAAGATCGCACCAGTGCACTCCATCCTGGGCGAAAGAACCAGACTCAGTCTCAAAAATAAATAAATTAAATAAAAATACGATAGAGGAGATCTGTGCCACTTGAGATCTCTTAATGTGAACTACTTTTCCCACTAATTAAAATTCTACCACAAAGTATGAAACAGATATACATATCTTACTTTTTTGGATCTACAGATGAATCCCCAATGACCGGGTTAAATGTTGTTCCTGGTGCCATTTCTTGAAGAGCTGACACAGCTGCCTATGAGGGAGAAGAGGCCACACATCCAGCAAGCAACAGATAGAAGTGACACTGTCACTTACGAGGGTCGCTACCAAATATAAGTGTCAAAGTTCTAGCCTAGCACTGCAAGGAAGCACATATACTAACAGAGACAGCACCTTGCCAAAAAATATCAGTTCTGTACACTTCAGAGTAAAACTATGTTTCCGAGGTTGCATAAAATAGCCTTTTGGAATCTCAACACTTTGGGAGGCCAAAGCAAGAGAATCGATTGAGGCCAGGAATTCAAGACCAGCCTGGGCAACATAGTGAGACTCCCTTCAAAACCCCTACTCCACCCTCCCCATTGCTGCCCTGTCTCTATTTAAAAAACAAACAAACAAACAAACAAACAAAAAAACAGGCCAGGTGTGGTGGCTCACACCTGTAATTCCAGCACTTTGGAAGGCTGAGGTGGGCAGATCACCTGAGATCAGGCGTTCGAGACCAGCCTGGCCTACATGGTGAAACCATGTCTCTACAAAAATACAAAAATTAGACGGACATAATGGTGAGTGTCTGTAATTCCAGCTACTGGGGAGGCTGAGCTGGAAGAATTGCTTGAACTGGGAAAGCAAAGGTTGCAGTGAGCCAACATCATGCCATTGCACTCCAACCCAGGCTACAGAGCAAGATTCCATCTCAAACAAAACAAAACAAAACAAAACTGGCCAGTTGCAGTACTCTAGCTTGTGATTCTAGCACATTGGGAGGCTGAGGCAGGTGGATCACTTGAGCTCACAAGTTTGAGACCAGCTTGGGCAAGATGGTGAAACCCTATCTCTACAAAAATATATGAAAATTAGCTGGGTGTGGTGGCATGTGCTTGTAGTCCCAGCTACTCAGGAGGCTGAGGTGGGAGGATGGCTTAATCACGGGAGATGGAGGTTGCAGTGAGCCATGATCACACCACTGCACTCCAGCCTGGGAAACAGAGCCTGACCTTGTCTCAAAAGAATAGAAAAAGGCTGGGCGTGGTAGCTCACACCAGTAATCCCAGCAGTTTGGGAGGCCAAGATGGGAGGATTGCCTGAGGTCAGGAGCTCGAGACCAGTCTGGCCAAAATGATGAAACCCTGTCTCTATTAAAAATGTGAAAATTAGCCGGCCATGGTGGTGTGTGCCTGTAATCCCAGCCACTCAGGAGGCTGGGACAGGAGAATTGCTTAAACCCAGGAGGTGGAGATTACAATAAGCCAAGATTGTCCCACTGAACTACAGCCTGGGACATAAGAAACTCTGTCTCAAGAAAAAGAAAAAGTTGAAAAGATTGCCTTTTGCACTTGTTTTGGCAGCATATATACTAAAATTAGACCACAGAGGAGGTGAGGATGGCTGCAGAAGGTTGACAATAAAAACTTAAAAATATATTTTTAAAAAGATGATTACCTTTTGCCTGGTGCCACAATATAATTTTAAGAATCAGGTGGCTCATGCCATAATCCCAGCAGTTTGGGAGCCAAGGCGGGCTGGGACCAGGAGTTTGAAACCTCGTCTCTATTAAAAATACAAAAATTAGCCAGGCGCGGTGGCACACTCTTGTAATCCCAGCTACTCAGGAGGCTGAGGCAGGAGAATTACTTGAACCCAGGAAATGGAGGTTGCAGTAAGCCGAGATCATGCCATTGTACTCCAGCCTGGGTGATAGAGCAAAACTCTGTCTCAAAAAAAAAAAAAAAAAAAAAAAAAA